CCAAAATTATTCAACAAAAACGACTTTAAAATTCTAGAAAAAAATAAACAAATTAATACATTTTTAGAACATTACGATAACACAAATCCTTTAGACATGCCGTCAGTTTTTCAGTATCAACAAAATAATTGTAATATATTTCTATTAACAGACAACGAAAATACATTCAGTGATATTAATTATGAAAATATTTGGTCTTGCTTACTAACTTTACGAAATATTATATCCAACGAAAAAACCGAACTATCATTTATAAAATATCATTACAACTCATTAGTCAAATGGGAAATCGTTCTTCCTATGATAAGATATATTTTTAAAGACCTCTATTCAGAAATTACAATATTTAACAACAGTCTTATCAACCCCTCAGATGCTGAAAAAGTTGTATTATTAAATGAAAATCACAATTGTCCATTAGGAGGTCATCAAGGGTCATCCCGCACATATAAAAAATTATCTCAATTATATACATGGAAAGGTATGAAAAAAGACATAAAAGAGTTTATAAAAAAATGTGAACTTTGTCAAAAAAATAAACAGTCTCGAAAAACAAAAATGCCTATGGTAATTACGACCACGGCATCAAAACCGTTCGAAAAATGTTTTTTAGATATAGTTGGACCACTACCAGAAACCGAAAATGGTCACAAATACATATTAACCTTTCAGGATGATTTAACAAAATATATAATTAATATACCTATGAGAAATCAAGAAGCTGTAACTGTAGCGCATCATTTTGTAACGAATATTATATGCATTTACGGAATACCTGACATGCTAGTCACAGATCAGGGGTCAAATTTTTTAAGTGATATTTTTAAAAGTACTTGCAAGTTTTTAAAGATAAAAAAGATCCAAACAACAAGTTATCACCCAGAGTCAAACGGAGCACTAGAACGCTCTCATAAAGTTCTAGAAGAATATTTAAGACACTTCATTAAGACATCTCAAACAGACTGGGATAATTGGATTCCCTATGCAACATTTACATATAATACTACACCTCACACTGCTACACAATTTTCTCCATTTGAACTTTTATTCGGACATATTCCTACATTACCAACATCAGTTAAACAACCACCTAAAGTCAATTATACTTATGATGATTTCATAAACAATCTTAAACAAAAAATGCAACATTCTAATCAATTAGCTAAAGAAAACTTATTAAAATGTAAAAACATATCAAAAAATAATTACGATAAAAACAGTTATACCAGAATATTCGAAATTGGTGACAAAGTGTTACTTTACGACGAATCAGTTCGACGTGGCAGAAGTAAAAAACTTTCCGCCTTATGGATTGGTCCATATACCATTATAAAAAAAATATCAGATGTAAATTATACAATTCAAAAAGGAAAAAATAAACAAACTATTCATGCAAATAGATTAAAATATTTTTATTATTAAAACTAAACATAATCAGTATATATAGATTATAAAAACTAGAATTAATAAATTTTAATTAGCTTATTATTAGTATATATATTTTGTTTTAGGGTTAATTTATTTATAATAATTACCAGTATCCTAGCAGTAGTCCACTCAGAATACAATATAACCACTTATGACTTGAACCCTGGAATACACTTTGAGCACCTGGGCGAACTAAGGTTTTTTAATAACAAATGGAAACTAGTAACTTTTGTAGAATTAGAAAATATTAGTAATAAGTTATTATCATTAAAGAATTACCGTAAGTATACTACAGATTTATGCAATAATGAGAATGCTCAATATCACTATTATATTTGTCAGTTATTTTTGAAAAGTTCTAAATACACTTTCGAAAAAATTGAAAAAGAACTAGAAGTCTTACACGAATTGATCGGTCATAGTCATTTATCAGAAAGTAGACAAAAACGAGGTTGGTTCAATATTGTAGGAAAAGCAACTAAAGTTTTATTCGGCGTTTTAGATGAAGAAGATGCTAAATACTATAATGATAAAATTTCACAAATGAATAAAGACGAAACTTCAGTCCTTCAACTTTTAAAAGAACAAACAAAAATTGTTCAATCAACAATAATTAATTTCAATAATACTATTGGAACTTTAGATTTTAACGAAAATTTATTAAAAAATAATATAAAAAAGATTAGCGATGAATTAAGCAAAGTCAAAGAAAATTTTCATTTTCTATATATAAAAACCGGCATAGAAGAACACGTCACTATTTTAAATATGATGCTAAATCAATTACAATTAGAAATCATGACGATTACGAATGCTATTTTAGTAGCAAGAAAGGGAGTTTTACACCCCTCAATATTAACGCCATTAAGGTTAATTAACGAATTAAAAGATGTGTCCGAATCTCTACCTCATGGATTAGAATTTCCTGTACCATTAGATCCGCTCAATGCAAATCTCATTCTAAATGTTATCGAGTTGCAAGTTTATTTCGAAAACAAACGATTAATATATATTATAAACATCCCTTTAATTGAAACAAATTTATTCTATATTTATAAAATATCACCCTTTCCAAAATTAATGTCAAATAACCAGTTTATATTAATTCAACCCTCATCTAAATATATAGCAATTGACGAAAGCAAACAGCAGTTTATTACACTGTCGGAAATAGAATTTAATACTTGTTTAAAAATTATAGAAAATAAATTTATTTGCAAGCAACAAAAACCAGTTTCTCTTGCTCATTTGGCAGATAATTGCGAAGTTAAATTATTGCAATTCACAAATATCATACCTGATATCTGTGACAAACGTATAATTCAGTCAGATAGAGCAATTTTTATTCAACTACAAACCAGTAACACTTGGTTATTTGCAGTTCCTCATCCAGAAACTCTTACGATATCATGTAATAATAAAAAAAATCACGTAGATGTAATACTAAAAAATTGCGGTAGTGTCACTATAGGTAAACAATGTAAAGCTTATAGCGCATCATCAATGCTAATCCCTCATGGAAATACAGTCCAGTCCAATATTTCAAGTGATTTTATTCCACCATTCGACATTAGTGATAATTGTTGCGAAAGGATAAAGGAAGAAAAAATAAACATTAGTGAAATATTTCTCAACGAACATTATAGGAAATTAACAAAGCACATCCCCGAACTTAATGTAGCGAGCCATAAGCTAGAAGATATTGAAAAGTTAGGTGATGAAATTCTAAAAAGGAAACTTGTAAACAATTATACATTTCCAGCATCTGTAATTGCCTATATCTTAGCTCTTCTTGCTATTATTTTTATTATTTATAAATTGTATACAAAATGTACTAACAAGACAGCCTGTTGCGGAATTATTCCAAACTTATGCATTAGAGTTAATCAGTCTGTGGAACCATCTTCTAGAAATAGTGATAGATATGTTGCTCATTATAATCGTAATATTAGCCAAAACTCTGAAAATGTAGGTAACTATGAAAACTCCGAAGAAGAGAATGTTAATTTACAGGCGCCCTCGCGCAGACCCATTGGGTATGTACCATCAAGGCGACCATTAAAAGAAAAATAATTTCCGCATTTGATACATTTTTAAATCTGCAATAGTTATAAAAAAAAATGTTAGTTAAGTTAGAATGTAAGTTAGTTATAATTAGTAGTTAAGACTTGTATAATACTTTTATATATGTACTTTTATTCATTTCCATCTGAGTTATACTAATTAATTATATAAACATTTGTTTTGAGATTTCATATCACTTTCACCTCATGAAATCTCTCATTAAGGGGGGAGGTGTTGTGAACATACATTTAATATGGTTATATGTATATGTATATTCGACAAATTGTATAAAATATTATTTTTACCCTTATTCTACGGCTATGCCTAAAGAATTTAAGGTACGAAAAATACCATCAACATTATTATTCTTCTCAGAAAGATGGGTGATGCAAATAAACAGAACCATTACCTTAAGATGAAATTTGGAAGAAATAGTCATAAATAGTTGCATCATTTTTAGTTTTCCTTTTAATTCGTTTACTTTCAGACGCGATGTCTGGTTTCTATTTACTTAAGAAATGGTCATGTTTGTCCCTTTGCAAAACCTACCTGAAAATATTATTAAGAAATAGTAGGTACGCCCGTGGATTTTCGGAGAGGGCATTCTCATAAAAGCAATGGTCACAGAAGGGACCGAGGACATTCATAAAATTTTTCATAGACGTAATACTGCTAAATTTATATTTTGTATTAAAAGTTTAAAAATAAAAAGTAATAACAACTTAGTAAGAATTTAATTATAAAAAAAATAAAGAATAACATTCCCAACAAGTGGTGATACGAGTCAAATAGAGAACTACAACATTTGGTGGCAGCGACTACAAGATTGGTGACGACGGTGGTCCAATCCAGGATCACGACACTATGATCGAGAAAAAACGGCGTCAACGATGGCTATGTAATGAAGGTCGCTGTCATTTTATATGTAAATTTATATAGGAAATGTCATTGATCGTCATTTCCCAGCCAACTGGACGCCGTTTTTTTTTCGATCATATGGTACATTTTATGTATTTTATTCTTTAATTTTAATTACTACAAAATGGTCTTGATATTTTTCTTTGAATACATATATTCTTGTTACTCTTTCATCTTTGTCTCTAATATACAGATGCATTGCAATTTGTTGTTAGTATATTTATGTAATCATTTCAATCCTAAAAAATAAATAAAATGGTTATAACATGCTTTCAGATATCCATATCCACAATATTCTGTGTGTAAATATGTTCAATTTTTAATAACCCATTCACTAAATGAGATTGTGAGACAACATACAGGTAGCTGTTTAAATAATTTTCAATCTTTGTATGTAATAATAGATTTCACATATTATATGCATTACACAATATGCATTACCTGCAATAATAAAAGATATTTTCTTTAAAGTGTATAATTCTATCTAACACACTTCTAATAAAGTATACTCTGACTCTTTGAACATTTGTTACAGCTTCTAATAATTAGGTATATTGATAACTTCCCAAGAAATTTTGTTAGCACTTTTAGTTAGTTTACCATTTTTCTCAATATATTCTGCATAATATATGACTCGATACATTCACCTAGAATAAAATCAATAATATCATTTATGAATAGAAAACTACATGTATAACTTCTTTTCGTTAATATTTGCAATTTCAGACCAGAACTTGTCTGGAAGAGAACTTTCTTGGTTTGTTTAAAAATATCTTACCGTATAACATAAATTTACATCTGAATTAATCTAATCAGATCAAATTTTCTTCATAGTATAGAAAACATCGGAAACTATTTGGACTGGTAATCGAGCTATCAATAAAGCTGACACTAAAATTTAATGCATAAATTAAATGGGATAATTATTTTCATGTAAAAACAAAACTTTATACTTAATAAGACCACAGGGAATACATAATAACAGTGTTACTGAGATTTTGATTTAATGTATTACTTGGTATTTGTAGATCTATTATTGTATTGTGATTACAATTGCCTCTCTTCTCCATTGATGCATCCTAATTTAAGATTACTGATTTTCTAATACATAATTAAAGTGAAATTATTTTTCCTACCATTACATAATTAATTTCTTCCTACCATTAGGTAGATACCTGAAAGGTTAATAAATTAAAAACGAATTTATTAAGACATTTAAACTGTTTACCTCATTTCTCACATATATTTGACACCAAACATTATAAATAAATCAAAAAATATTCGTATACTAACTGAATTATATGATATTTCATTTTGAATAATAAAAGTACTTTTTTACAGGTTTATTTGGCATTGTTTGCATTGTTTTTTGTTGTTTTCTGTTTTGTTTTTGTGCGAGTTTAATAACCCACTGATTAACCTTTTTTTAAACATAACCTTTAAACTACACACCATACTAGGGATGTACGATTCGAATCGATTATTATCAAATCGACGTGATTTTTATATCAAACGATTTTGGGTATAATCGATCTATTTTTTTTTAAATCGAAGACCGATTTTATTGGTATACCATTTTATTTATACAGTTTTACAGGTTTATTTATTTGTTAGAATTTAGAATAAGAAAAACACTTTTAGTTTTGTTGAATATTTGTTTGCAGTGCATCCCTAGTAAAAGGCCATCTAGCAATGAACTGAAAAATTAAGTGCTCGCTGCCGCATGCGCCGATGTTTGTTTATCACTTTGATATCAGGTGTCAGATTTTTGTCGGGGCTTCCCATATTTTTATATTTTAGATAACGTAGAATAACTCTTTGATTTTACCTTAATTCTTTCTTGGGTATACCCTTTCTTGTACTTTTATTTTATTTTTGGGATATCCGTACTCCATACATTAAACATTTAGAAAATTGATTTATCTATCTTTATACAACCACCAAAACGTTGACCCATAATAGTAATACATCAGTCCAGTAGAGGACGCTAAGGTAAAAAATTTCTAAATAAAAATTTGTAATTTGTAATTCCTTCAGTGTTTTCGAAATCATTGTCGGGGTTGCGTCGGTTTGGAAGAAATGTCGAAGAAAACCCCGGACTGTCTACCATCAGCCTCCGGATATAAGTAGTTATTAAAGCAAGTTTTTTTAACATTTTTTATTGTATTTATGAGTTTAGTGTTTGATTATTATCATGTGAAAAATTTTAAATAATATTTTAAAAGTGATAGGCAATTGATAGGTTTGTGATGTTCAGTTTAATAGATATTTGGTGTGTATGTGTTTACGTATATGTGTGCTGGATAAAAAACACTTTCATTAAAAGGGTAAGCTCTAACTAAAAATTAAAGGTTATAATTGTTTATTGAAACGATTGAAAATATTTCCTAATATGGCAAAAAAGAAGCTATAATTGTTAAGATTTATTTTTTCAGTTTACTCCACTGTAAAAAGTATTTAAAATATTGCGCGTTTCTCTAGAATTAGTAGAGCAATCTACACTAATATGAATAAAATGAATTTTCGTATTTTTTTCTGTAACAACTAAAACTAATTGAATTTATAGATAAACATGCAGAATGTGGGTATGGTAGGAGGTGGCAACGTTGCATTCTCTCCGACACTCTCTATGCCCGGTAAACGAATTTCCCAGGGAGTGAACAGTGGCACTCAAAAGTTTTTCAACATTTTCCGGAAAATGTCAAGAAAAATATAAAATTTTCAACATTTTTTTTTCGCAAAAAAAACCTCATAGGCGTGTTTCTGGGGTTGAACTATACTACCAGTTAAAATATCTGCACTCATTTCTGGGACACCCTGTATAAGAGAGCGACCCAGGCCTCCAAAAAAGCTTTTTACCTATTACGTTTTTGGTTTGTGATTTTTATTTCAATTTTTTACATAAGATGAGGGCCATTGTAACGCACATTTTCAAAATATTTTTGTCAACATACAGGGTGATTCAAACCACAATACATATACTTAATACAGTTCATGAAGATTAGGACATTTAACTAAAATTTGATTATCTGATGAAGCTACCTTTAAAAGTAATGGATTTGTAAATAAACGTAATAGGTATTCATTATTATGTGACAGAAATCCCATACTGTAGCACACAGATTTTATACTTTTAATGATAAATGCCTTCTATTGCGAGACTAAAAGGTAATTGCCTCGTATCAGAGCCATCATAATACAAGAACAAGACCGAAAGTCAAATCTTGTCTTATATTTTCAAAAAAAACACAATTTTCTCATTAAATATTGATTTTAGGTATAGGAAGTTATTAATAATACAAGATTAAACAACTATTACACAGTAGTTCACAGGAAGCTATCGATTGCGAACTAACTAAATCGTTACTAATTAGGTACTAATTTTGAAAAATTCCTTTTTAAGATAAAAAAGGTAAAACTAAAATCTAAACTATCATTTGAGATTAAACGGGAAGTTCTAAATAATGTTGCCTATTCTAAACAAGAAAAATTTATTTATAAGTTAAGTTTTATAACATTCCTAATTAAATTTGGGCGAAACGAATACTTCTGTTTGCTGTAGGTAATTTTCTCAGGGAAAATACGTAAATAAAAATGACTTTTTAAGTCAAAAAAAGTCAAAAGGACAAGTTATTCCAAAAAAGGACTGTCCTTTTCAAAAAAGGACAAGTGGCAACCCTAGGTATTTCTGGAATGGAAATTTAATGGCAAATCTACAACTTTGGTTTGAAAATATGTTCCGGCCACCTATGTTTACAAAAATGTCTAAAATGTGCCTAAATGCCTCCATATTCTGAAAAAAAAATTGAAAGAAAAGTCACCAACCGCAAACCTAATATAGAACTGTTTCGGAAGCCTGAATCACGCTGTAAATATTCAAAAGTAACTGAAAGTTTATATAGAAGTAACTGAAAGTTTAAATTGAAAATCGACGTTGGAGTGATTTTCGAAAACTACTAACGTTTCAACATAAGTATATGTGGGATATTAATTGTAATATTATATTAGACCTTATAACAAAACTCATCTGACGAAAAAGTGTTAATGTAGTATATTAATATGGAGTAAAAATTTTACTAATTACTTTACTTTTACTTTACTAATTAAATTCGTTCCAAAAAACGATACGCCACTGGCCATTAGCACAATCCCAAATGCGCCTAGTTGCCGGGGTCGGAAATTTTAGACTTCTCTGTCTCTTCTGTCCTTGTTTGACACATTGGAATGTTTGATACACTACCAACGAGTATTTATGAATGAGATGTTCGGTCCATCTTTATAATGTCTTTGATAAGTACACACCATGTAAACCTGTGTTGAGATTTGAACCGGTTTTAGGTGTTGATGAAAATCGGTTTTAGTTACCATGAGCGGCACATTTAAAAAAGACAACTCTAACTCTGAAGCAAGAAACCTGATATGGAGTTGGGCCATCCTGTATGTGCAATAAAAATAAAGTAAGGCATTTAACTCGTTAATGAAAAACAAAAGAATCATTGCTTAGATGTCGCTAAACTGAGAAATAGTCGGCGCAGACATTTTTCTGAGAATCAAAGATATGCGAATTGATAAGAAACAATGGATTGGTTGTACCTACATACCGGGTGTTGCATCGTCGGACGGGACACAGGAAATCCCATGTAAATTTTAATGGGGTCAATTATTGGCTTCCCTAATTATTTTAGAGAATAATTAACAAATTAATATGAATTAAAGTAAAATAAAGTAATCAATTACAAGGTTAATTATAGTATTATTATAATATTCAATAACTTATTAATTTAGGTACTATTAAATTGTTAGAACTTCAGGATTTAAGATGTTTAAATATTCCTCCATCGACTGCTAGACAATAACCCAGGCGATCATAAAATTCTCTTCTTACATTGGCTAGTTAGTAAACTGATATTCTATTGCATTCGGCAGAAATAGCATTTTTTAACTCGTCTAGATTTGGGAATTTTTTATCCTTTTATATCCTGTTTTTTAAATGGCCCCAGAGAAAAAAATCATTTGGCGAAATATCAGGAGACTTTGCTGGCCAATTTACTGTATGATTTAGGCCAATAACGTTTCCGTTAAAACTATTGTCTAAATATTCCTGAACATCCAGGGTACTATGTGCCGGGCAGCCATCCATTATTTGGTACCAAACTTCCTGATTTTCCCTAGCGGCATTATGTAAAGCAGGTAAAATTTGATTTTCGAGTAGTTCCAAATAATATTCTGCATTTAAATTTCGCGTAAGAAATAATGGCCCGATAATATTGTGTCCGAATATCCCTGCCCAAACAATTACTTTCTGTGGATATTGCGTCCTTGTTTCGACAAACCTGTGTAGGTTTTCTTTGTTTCAATATCGATAATTTTGAACATTGGGTTCATTATTTAAGGTAAACTTGCATTCGTCAGTGAAACATATGTTTTTTAAAAATTCTCTATCCGTGTTTGCTCTTTCGTATTTCGTAACGTATTTCGTACCCATCTCGTAGCTCTTGGTGCTTTTCATATTTGAAGGAATAGTATTTATGTCGTTTCAAAATTCGAAACGCTGTAGTATGATCTATTCCTATTTCATCCTCAAGTCTCCTTGTGCTGATCTTTCCATCGTTCTCTTCCACGCACAATAAAACTTCCAAGTCGGTATCATTTCTTCCATCTCCTCTTTGTTCCTGCCTTGCTTCACATCTGCAGTTATTTATTAGGGTACCTTTAGTCTAAAATCTCTGGATATTCCTTGCGATTGTAGATTTTCCAGGTATCGGTCTATTCGGATACAGAGCAGCAAACATGTCCGACACCTTTTGATAACTATTTCCTTGATAATACCATTTAAACATCAATACTT